GTGCGTCGTGAGTGGTTTCAACGCTTCAAGAACGGTGATTTTCGCGTCGAAGACCGGCATAGCGGTGGAAGAGAGAAGGTTTTCGAAGATGCACAATTGGAGGACAATTACTTAATGAAGACTCGTGTCGAAGTCAAGAAGAATTGGGAGCGACCCAACAAGCAATTTCGAAACGCCTCAAAGACATGGGAATGATTCAGAAGCAAGGAAATTGGGTGCCGTACGAGTTGAAACCGAGGGATGTTGAACGGCGTTTATTTGCTTGTGAACAGTTGCTTGAAAGGCAAAAGACGGCGTGGGGTTTCTGCATCGCATTGTGACTGGGGACGAAAAATGGGTTCATTGCGATAACCCCCAAGCGCAGAAAATCATCATGGACATATCCACGTCGACGGCCAAACCGAATATTCACGGCTCCAAGGTCATGCTCTGTATTTGGTGGGACCAGCTCGGCGTAGTGTATTACGAGCTGTTAAAACCGACTGAAATAATCACAGGCGATCGTTATCGAACGCAATTAATGCGTTTGAGCCGAGCATTGAAAGACAAACGGCCGCGATACAACGAGAGACACGATAAAGTGATTTTGCAGCATGACAATGCTCGACCCCATGTTGCGAAAGTGGTCAAGACGTACTTGGAAACGTTGAAATGGGAAGTCCTACCCCACCCGCCCCGTATTCTCCAGGCGTTGCTCCCTCTGACTGTCACTTGTTTCGATCAATGGCACACGGCCTGGTTGACCAGCACTTCCGGCCTTATGAAGAAGTAAGAAATTGGATCGATTCGTGGATCGCTTCAAAAGATGACCAGTTTTTTCAACGCGGGATTCGTACGCTGCCCGAAAGATGAGAGAAAGTAGTGGCCAGCGATGGACAATATTTTGAATCATAAATGTATAACCAGTTTTTTTTACAATAAAGCCTCGAATTTCGGAAAAAAAAACGGCGGAAGCAAAGTTGTATACCTAATAGTAAAATTAAATGGTTTACCGATAGTCTGTCCTCGCCAGAAAGCACGCAAAATATAAAATGTAGAGCACGTAAAGCACGTTGTTCAGTATCGAACGACACGAATCGACAAGCGTTTATATGAAAAGAGTTGTAATATTTCCTCTGTGTGTATTGTTCCCTTCGATTTACAATTAACTCGTTACAGCCGACCCCCCCCGCGGTTAACGAAAAGCGTGCTTTCGAAAAGCCGCTTTCGAAAATTCCCGAATTTCCACACGGTTCCCATCCGGTCGAGAGAACCACGCGCGGAGCAGCGGAAGCGACCTTTTTCCCGACGAGAACGGAGAAAGGCGCGATAGATAGAACGAGCGATCGTCGTAACGCCGGCGCCAACTCATCCCGATGAGAGCCAAAAGTCGTCAACGGTGCGACACATTCGTCTGCCTGACGCGATGCGACTAGGGGTCGCAGATTCTGCAGGGTACAGGACGAAGGGACGTCACAAGGCGGACGTGGCCGTCACTTCGACGCTCGCATCCGCATAATACGACGTCGTCGAGCCCGACAACGTGGAGGCCCTTAAACCTTCTCCCTAAACGATACTCCGCTTCCGCGTACCTGCGTAAAACGCGTCGCTACTGTTGCTGCCGCAGTTGCAACTGCAATAGCCCGACTTAAGGCTTGACGGAGGGTTGCAGACGGGCGTACATCACGACTCTGAGTTTAACCCTCGGCCAGGCTCGCAGAAGGAAGCACTTTAGACGTTGGCACGCGCGACGCGAGTCAGCTTCGCTCCGCTACATTCAAATTAATTTCCGCGTCAAGTAAAAATACCGAGAAATTCGATTTATGGCATTTTTGTCAAAAGTATTAGAGGATCCTTCTGTTCTCCCATTTTTCTGTTCCTCGTGATTTTAGTTTTCAATCGTTTGAATCGTGGTTCCTTGCTTTCCAGCTTTAATTTAGAACTGTTTTAATATAGGAGAATGTCGGACAGGTGCAAATGTACAGGGGCTTGCAAGATTTTATTTGAAAAACAGCTCCGGCAGGATAAAATTAAATAATTTTATGAAAAATTCGAAAGCTGAAAATTCAATCCGAGAACGCTCTATTAAACCCGGCGCGGGTGGGTTATTATTAGTTAGAATATTTACATCTCTAACGATGTTATAGGCCGCGTGTCCTCAAGGATACGCCGGGAGTCAAAGGGTTAATAAAAGTTCCCTCGCGAGAGAGGAGGCAGCCCGCTCCGGGATGGTTTAATACGCGCGGCGCGTGACCCTCCCGTCCATGCATAATTCCGCCGCTTTAATTAAACGGATTCAAAAGTGTCGCGAGGCGTCGCTGCTAATGAACCGCGCGAAAGCGAAGCCCGGATTAAGCGCGAGCGATCATCATGAGGAAGGTGTTCCTCTCCTCGCAGGCAGGGTATGGGTATCCCCGTATGTAAGTACCTGCAATACTCGTCCCGTGCGTGCGTGTGTGTGTGTGCGAAAAACATCGTACGCCGCGGGCCAAACCAGTCGAGTTCCTTAATGAGGGAGATGCTCGTATTTATACGTGCGTGTGCGTGTCCCGGCGGCGCGTGGTGCGGCTACACGCATACCGCGAGCAGGTACGTGCCCACGTGGGCGCGCGGCCGGGGCACCCACGGGGAACCAGCCTCGCCGCATTCCCTCGTGGCCACCTGAGAGAACTTGGCTTCGTTTCGTCTCGATCGCTCTCTCGGAAGAGGGACAGCGGAAGAGAGAGAGAGAGAGAGAGCGAGAGAGAGCGAGAAGAGGGAGGAAACAGCATTGTTGAAAATTCGAGAGACCGGCGCCCGACTGGAGCGATACGCGTCTGTTGATGTTGGCGATTTCTTCATTTGCTCCCGGAGCGGAGTCTCGTGTAGCGAGCGATCTACGTGTGTCATTTCGATGTAATCGACGGGTCACGTCGGATAGAACCGCGGGCGAAACTCCGTTGGGGCAGTAGCGTAGTGAGCCTGAGGATGCGCGGAAGCGGGACGCGCGAAAATGCCGGTGGAAATGACGGAAATTAGGTTGTCGCGGGATGGCTCCTCGGTCGTACATCGTTCGATGCACGAACCTCTCTTTCGCACACATTCTTTTCGATTTGATCGCGTGTCTTAGAAGCGCAGAGGTATGTAGACTGTCGGCAGAATTTATCCTGCTAAAAAAAGAATACGGAGCGGCTACTGACAATCCGGCCAGGTAAATGTGCAAGATTACAATATGTGCGACTCATTCGTTCTTGAAAAACTGAGAAACTCGAGTCAGTCGATAAGGACTGGTCGAATGTTGGATTAATGAAATTTCGTAATTGTTTCGATAAAGGACTCCCATTTTTACAATAAAGGCAGAGTATGAAACGGAAACGTAATAAGTTCAGGCAGAATGTCGATGTGCTCCTCGCAAGTCGCGCAAGATTCTACATTAATTTGTCGGTAAAAAGTCCTTTCTCCATATGGAACTGTTTTCTCCAACGCTTTGCAGTGCTATGATTGCGCGACGAGAACATTTCTTTCCCTCGAACGTGCTTTTGATATTTGCTTCGTTCGCGTCTCTTCCCCGGAAACTTCTCCGGGCGTCCTCCGCTCACGCGCAGTATCTAATAACGATTTCGGCGTGGATTTCGCGGCGCACGATGCGCACGGCGGAATTATGAGCGGTAGTCGGCGATTTATTGTTAGTTCATCGAGGATTATCCCGGCGTCGTATATTATTAGACTTCGCCGTTTGCACACTCTTGTGCTTGAACTTCGCGAGACCGATCGAGATAGCGCGAGGTGTTCGCATACTTTCGGCTTCCTCTTCCGCGCGTCGCGCGCCTATCTCACGTGCGATACGAGTCACGAACCGCGGATTCACGCAACGCAGAAAGGAAGAGGCGGAGAAGAGACAGAGAGCGAGACAGAGAGAGAGAGAGAGAGAGAGAGAGAGAGAGAGAGAGAGAGAGAGAGAGAGAGAGAGAGAGAGAGAGGGAGAGAGAGAGATTGCGCGTAATAAATCAACGCCGCGATAGCGCGATGGATTCTCCCGTTTCTCATCATTAGGATAACTGATTCCGAAGATTACATTCTCGGCCGCACACAGGTCGTATGAGAGCCGGCAGGCAACGTGCCTCGGCGATATTTCAAGGTTCAGCCGAGGTTCAGCGCGCTCGAATTAAGATAGAAATAACAATCGAACGCTTCTCTTTCTCTCTCTCTCTCTCTCTCTCTCTCTATCTCTTCTCCCATTTTAGCCGTGTGTTATTTTTCACACTCGCGGCGTCTGATTGACGCGCCTCTCGGTTCTGCTTTAAGCGCTTCCGCAGCTCGAATTCGTCATGTTTGGATACTCGCTCGTTTTATTATAATTCCCGGGCGTTTCGCGTTTCGACAGCTGCGAGCGGATGAAAAACACACAACTGTCAAGCGCAAATTCAGCTGATTGTGCGTGACGGATTAAAATTCAAGTACATAATCCGCGTGTCGAATCTTTTCACGTGCAAATCTTTGTATTTCTCTTTACCATTGCCGCATAAATTTATTATTATCATCATTATTATTATTATTATTGTTGTTGATCAGGAAACAAATTACACGATCGTGCAACGTTGAACGCTGTCAAACGCAGACTCAGGTGAGAATACACGACAGATTTAACTCAAAGTACACATCGATGCGCGTGCATCGAGCCTCATTTTGCGCAAACTTTGTTTCCCTCATCACCGTGGCGCGCATCGTTATTATTCTTTTCATCGTTATCATTTCCATCATCCTTGCGAAGTCAAAGGACCGAGAGATAACACGTTACGCAACGTCGAGTCAATGGATGAGAGCGCGCTCTGCTTTTGCAATCGTGACGCGCGAATGTCTAGTTCAACTCGCGTTCCTCTCGCAGATTCCTCGGGCGGCGGAATTGGAAGGCACCGATGACCTCCAGCCGACGAATCATCGCGAGGGTATACCGCGCGCGAGCCCTTCCTTGCTCCGTCCCTGGCCGTTGTCCCTCGATCACGATCTCGATCCATGCGGCCAGTCTTGCCGCGCCAGCGCGATCGAGAGGATCGATGTTGGTACGAGTCGCGCGTCGCCGCACCGATTCGAAAAGCCGAGTGTGCGCAGTGTGGGTGCAGTGGATTTCCAATAGAATTAAGCAAGATCAATAGTGAATAGTCCGACGAGACGGTGACGCGGATCTCCATTTATGCAATTACTCGTCGCGCGTGTCGCCGCGTGCGTGGATCCGCTGCAGTTCGGAGGTTCGCAGATTAAATAAATCCACTATCGCGGTGATTCGTGCATTCGTTCGCCCGTTCGTTCGTTTTTCGAATGTATCAAGTTTCCCTTCGGCAAACGAACGCGAGCACGATACGCGCGCCCGCGAGGTATTCATTTCTCGTTCGCGTCGATGCGACCCCCCTGCGAAGCGAGGAATCTGTCGAGCGGATTCGCCGCCTGTTGTGTTTCTCGCACCCTCCCCCCCCGCCCCCCAACCCCCAACTTTCCTCGCGCTGAATTACTCGAGTGTATTCTGTTCGGAGCCGGTGCGTCGTTAATTTTCGGGATTAAACTAATGAGCACCGATTAAGAGCTTCCTTCTGCGCGATCAAGAATGGCGCTGGCGTTACTCGAACTCGGCGACTGCGACGGTTCTCGATTACGCTCGATTTAGATTCCAATTGACCGCGTGATTCGCGCGACATGTTCAAACCGACCGTGTCGTCGATCGGTGTTCGTCTCGCGAGGCAACTCGCGAGACGAACAATCCGCGATGTCGAGCGAGCCGAGTCGCGGCGCACGACGGACTTCCGTTTCTCCGGGAAATCTCGGAGAAACTTTGGAGGGAATTTTTTTCGAAGGCGGCAGCTGTGCGATCTGAAATCTGTACGGCGGGCTCGGTCTCTCGGCGCAGAAAGTAGACACGGTTCGTCGGAAGGTTTCGTGAAGTTAAACGAACTTGTCAAAGAGTCCCGAGAGCTCTCAACATTTTTATGACGTCCTTAATCTTTCAATTTCTTCGACTCACGCGCGCACAATAGCGGAAAGCGAGGGAGGAGGCGAGGGGAAGCGGCAGACAGAGAGAAGAAAGACGGAACACGCTGAATGGTGCCCGGCGCTTTTTACTCCACGCCGGCCGCGTTAATATGTTAATTCAATTTATCTCGCGGCATGCAACGCGCCCCATTCGTCTCTGTCCATCGCTCGCTGTTTACATCCGTGCTCATTTTCCTCCTCCTCGCTCCTCCTCTCGCTCCGCGTTATTTTTCCTGCTCGCGGAATTACACCCTCGCGCACGTACATACCTATATATATAAATATCAAGCGCGGCTGTCACGGCATGGCTGGACTTCGCCCAGCCTCCGAACGATAATCATTATCCTTCGGATATCCTTGGGGCTGCCCGAACGTTGACGGGCTGGCGTTTAAAATTCCTCCGCATGGATGAAAGATAAGCTCGGCGGGTGTAACTGAATTTCTCCTCCCTAGAGTCCAGACGGAAGCTCGATTGTGCGCAGGAACAGCTCGATTCCTGCAGGAGCCTCCTCGTTGATTGCCGGTCGATCGTTCTCGGTTGTCTCGACCGAATTGTAATGCAGCCGAATGTTCGGACGGATCATTTTTTCGGTCGCAGCAACGGAGAGGCAAGAGGAGAGATCGTTCCTCGTCATCGAGTTTTCGTCTGGTCCCCCGGGGAGGGGGGGAATTCATTCAAGTTACACGAAGTGAGTTTCTCTTTCTCTCGTGCGGGGGGGGGGGGGAAGAGAGATTCTCGCGTGTCGCACAATCCGAGCCTTCCACGGAAGGAGGCCCGGCCCGAAAAGTGAGGTCAGAATATTAGCACGCGACGCTTCGTTGTGCATGCGGGATCGGCCTCCGGGTGTCCGGGGAAAGGGACAGGGTAATTCCTCGCGTTATCCTCGCGAGTCATAATTCGTGACAAATCCGCGGATATTAAAGCAAGGAAGTTTGAGATCGCGCACCTTCCTGCAGTTTCTTAAGGGTCCCTCCTCCCTCCTCGAGCCATCGTAATCCCCGGGTTATTAGCGTAAGCTGAGATTCGAAATTCGATCCCGCCGCCTTCGAAGTTCGACTAAACGACACGCGTCACTTCTCGCCGCTCCCGGGAAATAATTACGGAGTCAGCTGCGAGATCGTAAAAGTGAGAGTACAAAAACTCCCGGTTGGGACGCTATTTTTCGCAAGGCTGGTGTGTTACAGCTTCTTTTCTAATATAATTTTTAAAACTACTTTTTCCACGTCCTCCGGTGGCAGCTCCGGAGCACTTTGCCCCAGCAGAGTTTATTTTGCCGAGGGAAATGGTAAATTTGCCAACAGCAGATTTCGCAGAATCGCTGAAATATAAAAAGCACGAATGTAGAACGAAAGGAGCGGAATGTCGATGCGAAGTCGACACGGTCGCATAGATCTACAACAACGTTCCCCGAACGAAGGTTCTCTCGTGTGTAATTAGAGTCTCCGTGTAATGATATTAGTGTCCGTCGAAAATCCGGAGTAATGTATTCGGCCTCCGTTCTACGTTTCTCTGTCAAACAATGTTATCCGCGATTAGATTAGATTACCGCGCCCGATATCGATGACGAACGGCTCTTATCGGCTCAATCTGTCAAACGATATTTAGGAGCACGAGGAGAGACAGAAAGAAGCGAAAGAAAGGAGAGCCGGTAAGAGCCGTGGAATCAATCTCGCGCGAAACCCCGCATCTTCGCGGATCTACGCTCGACTCGCCGCTCGACGATTGACCGACATCGCGATTCACAGTGACGGCAGTGTGCGTGCGTGTGTGTGTGTGTCCTCCTTAAAACTGCAGTGAGCGACGCGATATTGCGACTGCTCTATCGCGGTAACAGTGCCAAGTATTGCGCGCGCACGCGCGTGTGTGTATGTGTGCGTACGACAGCGAGGTGATAACGAGATTCCCTTTCAAGTGCCGGCGCGAGAGAGGACTCTCGCGCGATTACCCTCGCGCGACCGGCGACCCGCGACGTCGCCGACGGCAGTTCGCCTCGTGCTGGTCGCACGGACGGGCGGACGGAAAGGATGCGATTAGCGCGACGACGACGACGATTCGCCGTTGCGGCATCGTGAAGCCCTTCGCGGTGCAATTGGCGTAATGCGGCGCTCCTCGCGCGCTATCGGGAGCGAGCGAGAATAAAGGAGGAAAGAGAGGCCCCGCGGAACAACGATCGCTGCGCGAAATCGACGCTTCGAGAAATCGACCGCTTCGAGCCGACCGGTGTCACGAAGGAAACGCAATCGGTGTACCGCGAAGCGAGCTATCGCCGTAAATTGCAGCGTTCGGAGCGCGGCGCGCGATAACGGCACACCGCTCTCGGCTCTCCGGCGATGTAGCAGCCTGGCAAAAAAGCGCGGCGGAAACGTACAATAACGCTCTCTCGCCCGTCGCTCTAATTGGAAGCGACGCCGCTCGCGAGCGAGCGAGCGAGCGAGCGAGCCACGAGGAAGTCGCAGGTAGGTGAGCTGCAAAAACGTTATTGCGGTAAATGCTAATCGAGCGGATTAAATAGCGGTGCGTGTCGCGCGATAAGCGGCGCGTAGTCTCGCGAGCGATCTGCCGATTCGTCCCTCGTAACGATGTGGCCGGATTTCATCAGCAGATCGGACTTTCCCCCACACCCAGCGCGATCGACCCGATCGCGAGTGACCCAATGACGCGATCCGCGGATGAAGAAAGGAAGAAGGAAGAAAAAAAGATTCCTCATACTTGGACCGTATTTTTTTTTTAATATTTGTGGAACGTGCATATATGCATGCGTGCACGCGGGAGACGGTTTCATTCTACGCTCTGTTTAATTCCGATCCAAAATGAAAGGCGGAAAATTCCCTGGGAAAACCTGGGTTCGGCCGAGCGTGGAGGACCTACTCGAGTTTCCCCATTTGGAGCCCCATTTGGAGCGCGCGCTCGAAACATTACGCTTCCAGCTTCTAAAACTTCTCCAGCAGACTTCCCGACTAGAGTCTATAATTTTTTGTCGGCGGGAAATTAGGCTAGATCTCGATTAGGTCCCGAGAAATTCCCGACCGCGCGAGTTCATCGTCGCGACGTGCATTTTCCACGTGGGTTCACCGCGGCCCGCGGCCCGCGGCTGTCGCCGGATCTCGCAAACGGCGGCGATTTCCGCCGCGGAATAATAATTTTGCAGCTCAAGACCGCGAATCGTTCTCGCTCCAGCGAGTTTGCGGAGCGGAGCGGCGCGGCGCGGCGCGTTCCGGTGATCCGTTTCGATAATGTCCGCCGATAGACAGAAATCCGCGCGTCGTGAAAGCGAGAGGCCCAGACTCGCCAAGACTCCAAGTACGGTCGAAAGAAGACTCAAAGCACTGACGAGTACTCGCGCATACTTAGAATACTTAACGATTACAAAGCGCAAGTAGTCAAAGCGTTCCGTACGCTTCGTCCGGTTCCGGCTCGAAGCGGAAGCCAACTGGAAAGTGCACCGTGGGAAAACGTTTGGCAAATCAAGTGGAATCCGCTTGGATTTTCCACTTTGCAGCCGCTCATTTGAAACACCACACTCGTGTAACTTGATTCCGCGTGGATTTCCCGAGCGGAGCCCGTAATTTTCTTGGCTAATCAAACTGCAGCCCGCGGAATTTTCTACGCGGGTCGTTGCGACACAGCGCGTTTCGCGATCCCGAGCTGCCAAAGTCCGAGGAAGCGGAAGATAAAGGCGAGTTTGTTGTCAAGTTGGCGATTGATCTCTCATTGGGAGAAACATTGGGGGAAACCTGTTTACGCCAGCAGGGCCGCCCGCTCCGCCGCAACTTTTAACGAGTCCGCGCGGCTCGCGCCGCATTCGGCAACCGATAATTAGCACAAAGTTCCACAAAAACTTTCGCCGTCTCTCCCTCTGCCCGCTTGCAGCCGCAATGTAATTTTCACATTCGCCACGGCGGAAGGCACAACTCGAGTCCTGAGCGCGTTTCAACGTTTCGTGTCGCGTGACAGCGAGTAACATTCAGACTCGCTTCCGCGAACTCCATTTTCGGGAGTTGGAGTTGATCGTCGCGAAGAGCGAAGAGCGTAAATCCGATCCCGGGCTCCTCCTTCGAGGAAATCGGAGCGCCGGGGACCACACGGCGAGAGGACGGCCGTCGCGACGGTCGTCGCCGGTCATCGGCGCAGGACGAATTATCCTTTGCGTGGGGAGTCGTGTTACACTTTGCCAGCCGAGACAAACTCACCGTCGCCGTTCTCGATGCTCCGCGTGCGCAAGCAAGAGAAAGAAGCAACAGAAAACTTTGCTATTAATTATTAAAAGTTGGCTAAAAATTACAGATAAATCGCACTCGCGGAGCAAATATATATTGTATTGAATTAATCGTTAAATTTCCGTCATGCAAACATGTGAATTTCTTGTCGTGTTGAAGCAGCGACGAGTTTACTAAAAAAAAGTCACTCCCGACGAATGGAGGCTCGTTTGCTGGAGTTACATATAAGCGATCGGCATTGCGACAACTTGACACTCGGGAACACGCGTATGTATAATAATAAAATAACAATAATCCAACTATTCCGCGTGTTACACAATAGTTATTGTGCCGAGCTAAATACTAACGGAGAACACACTTCACAACTGCAACAGCAGCTGATAGATTCAGCTGAGCGTCACTCGCCTCAGGCGGCTTCAGCGCTTCTCGCTCAAGTTGCGAAACAGTTGATAAACTAAATTTCAGCAGCAACGACAGTCGCGATGCCGCGCGCTTCCAAAGATACATCTTAGCCGCGCGACTGTGTCTCAGCGCCTTTCGCTGAGGTTATTTTTCGCGTGCGAAGGAAATGTACTATACGTACGTGGGTGCGCTCACGGGAAGAAAGAAAGTGGCGCTCCTGCCGTCGCGAAAAAATCTCGAGGTCGACCGCGGCTCACGCCGTCGAAAGGTGGGAACTCGACCGCGAGGGTGCAGCGAGCAATAATGCGACGTGGTATGCTGTCGTCGAGGCGTGTCGCGCGCGCGCGCGCGCGCGCGCGGAGCAGCGGCGAGTGAGGGTGAGAAAGAGGTAGAGGGTTGAAAGGAGGCAATTGCTGCTGGATGTCGCCCGTCGACGCTGACCGCGGTCAGGTGTTTCGCGGTTCAACGGTGGCCTGGAATCGGCCGGATAACGCGGCCGCAACGGATGATCAAGGATTGATAAGTCTGGCGAGCGCGCGACCAGGCACATCTGCACTCACGAGGGTGTTGCGCGAATGTGGGTCCTTTTTGCTTGCTCCATTGTCAGATTATAATTACTTTCCCGTGTCCCGTGCGTGGTTTAAGCAATTTTACCTGTCACATTGCGCATTTGCAAATTATATATTCGAGGACGAGAGTTAAAAATATTTTCCCCAACAAGGTTTCCATGCGACAACAATAAAATTTTGTCAAGAGGTTGACAAACAACTGATGAGTAAACAACCAAGAGCAAGAAAAAGATAGTCGAAACATTGACGTTTTAAAATTTTCAACAAATATGTGAAAAGACATTTAAGGATCTTTAAGCTTAAAGGATTTGAAATCTCGACTGCGCTTCGGGCGAAATTGCATCCGAAGAAATTTAGGGGGTGGATATTACGAATAATCTCATGGAAAATCCTCTCTGCTAAATTTGCCCGCAACCGATTTCCGCGCTCTCTCAAGTTCGACGGAAAAATTGTTAAACTATGCGCAGGGCCCTAGGTTGTTATAGGAAACAGTTTACCGACCCTATCTCGAAGGGCTGCTGCGAGGTAAACTGAACTATATTGACTTTTCGAAATACGAACGCGCATATCGCGATGTGTGCTCTCGGATATTTATTCGATGTGTTTGTCCTTGGTTACACCGAGCGACTTCGACGTTGCGGCTTAACGTACACCACGACCTACGTCGAGTTGCATTAACTTCAGGAATTGAATCGGTCTCGCGGTTGCGCCGCGCGTCGGAAACTGCGAAGAGGGACCACCAAGAGGGAGCAGAAGAGGATATTTAATCGTTTCGTCAAGGAAATTACGATGGCGTAGGAAGTGTTTATTTCAGCGATCAAAGCGTGTGATGCAAGCGGTGACGTAACGGTGAAGTAAGGTGCTTTTTTCCGCACGGTGTCACACAGCCTGAGATCACCTCGTTCCGATAAAAATTGAAATTCAAAGCGCACCTGAAACCCATACTCTGACCCAGATGTACGTAAATCTGGCAGCAGCTTTGCTCGTCGATATGTAAAGGTTGCACCGGTTACGAATATTTTACACGGCACTCGTATTTGCCACAAAGACCGGTGAAATAGAAACATGCTAGGTTCAATCATCACGATTTATTCTAAACGATGTGTCATGCGAAATATGAACATCTGAGGGAGTGACTCTCAGCAAATTTGCTTGCCGCTTCGACATAGCAGAAAATTCCGATCGTTGCATGACGTAAACTTAACGACTAATTCAATACGGTATATTTGCTCCGTGGAAATGTAATTAAAACGTTGTAAAGTTCCCATTATGGGTATAGTTTCACGTCGCGACAATCATGACAGTCTATCAGGGAGAGTCACGGAGCGAAAAAATAAAAGGAGGATTAAGTGTGACAGTGATCTATCCGTTTACAAATGAAGGATGACGGGACAATAGATGCGAAGATAAATCTAAAACTGATCAGCGAGTCGGACACTTGGAACGATAGTTTGATGGAAGTCACGATCGTAGATCGCGTGCGCATGTACGCGTTATCGCGCACGATAAAAAGCGTATCGCTCGAGTTGGACGATTCATGCGCTTCGCTATTATCAGTTTGAATGAGTAGCACAATGAGAGAGCCCGACGCACCCGACGGTACTACTACTCGTGTTGGTTATCTGCGTGTGAATGCACTTGCTGCCGACCGTTTTCGAGCGAGAGAGAGAGGGAGAGGGAGAGAGAGCGAGAGAGAGAGAGAGAGAGAGAGAGAGAGAGAGAGAGAGAGTAGGAGAGAGAGAGAGAGATAGAGTAGGAGAGAAAGAAAGAGAAGGGGGAAGGAGAGGCGCGGCTCATAACGAGTGTATCCGGTTCTCCGACGGAGATCAAAGACAGTCGCGCATTCTTCCGATGTGAGCAACTAAACGCCGCCACGTTCTTGTATTTTAGTGTCTTATGCTTCCTTTGGCGCATCGATCCGTCGTATCAATGACCGATGAACTTGTGCCTCATCTCCGTAAAGCGGCCGCGATAACTCGCTGAAATTGCTCGCGAGATGTTATTTGTTGCACCGGAAATCGCGGGTGCAACGCAAGTCAGCCTCTTCAACCTGAACAAGACGTCTTAAATAATATATCTCTTTAAACGCTTCAGTTACTTTATTTATTCGCCGTCTCGGATAATTGCGATTTCTCTGCTTTCATCGTGGAACAAATAATTAAGGTGGCGTGGCAGCATCTCGTCGCGCGTGAAATGTGGTAATTTCAAGAAAATTGACTCAGTCGCACTGAGAGAGAGAAAGAGAGCGAGATAGACGCGACGCGAACG